TTACCGCTCGGGTGCTCCAACGGAGTGTCAGTATAATACTTGAATCTGCCTACACTGCTTGAAGCTTTCCGCAGCTCACACAACACAAATTCCAAATGCAAAAGAGAGAAATTCCAGACACGGTGGGCACGCGCATGCGGGAGAAGAACGCGCAGCATAGCATCACCAAATGGGGAATAATACAAAATAATGAGAAGAATAGAGCAACGCCGGATAGCGTGAGCGGAAGAATCCCGCTGCTTCAACGGAAGCGCCGCTCGGACTCTTCCATCTGGGTCACAGTCTTTGGCTATCTCGGCCAGGGCACGCCCTGTGCCCCAGTCTGCTATCACATGAGTTTCCAAGGAATGTCTGCACTCCATCCGAATGGTCTCAGATACAGCCGTAGTCCCGAGCCAATACAAGCAAAATAATGACTTGAAGGGACCTACGCTAGGAAACCCGCAGAAGAAATCAAACCATTTACCGGGCACCGTTGGGACGGCATCTCCGGCAGCCGGCTCTTCCCAATCTGGATTTTCGTTATCCACTTCGGACCGCTTAGCCGAAAAATTCGCATCACTAAAAATCTGCCCAATCTTTGTTGCCGCCAAGTCGTCCTGTAAAATCGGAGCCAACTGTGTTTCAAGGCGGCGAGATGTGCGATCCTGATTAAAAAGAATGCGACAAGTACGCCTCTGGTAGACACCGGAGTGATGGCGGCCCTCTGAATCTATAGCGCGGCCCGAGCCAGCATCCCGATCGATGAAGGCTTCAAGCGTTCGCAAGATCGCTGTTTTGGATTCAGAATCCACGATGGCACAAGATTCAATAAAAGAGCAGACAACAGGCCTACATTTCGAACAAAATAACTTGCCCCGATCACCAAACCTAGCCTCCAGGACAGACAAGCACTTTGTATTTACATCCAGACTAGAAATAGAAATTGACTTGGGGGCAGATGGCCGATCCGATCTGTCGTACCGCGCTCTCTCACCGCACCATAAACAAGAGAAGGTGTTGGTTGTCATTCCGCGCATCTGACCAGAAGCATCAGCCCCCCGGGCTCTTTTCCGAGGGACCGCGTCGCTGCACTCTCGATCGGCGCGCAAGGCCGTCCGAAGCGGCGTGCCACCCAACGATCTCGGACCCTGGTTTCCCGGCGACACAGGGGCCACCTGCTCAGCCATCCCGGCGTCCCGGGTGGAGCCAGCTGGGGCTGGGCTGGGCGCCAGGGAACAGTCTGAGCCGCGCAATGCGGATCGACGGACAAGGGATGGGAAGAGCTGTGGGGCCCGCAATATGAGAACGAGGGCGCAATAAATGAAATTACACCCCCTGGGATGTGAGAGAGGGGAGCGGAAGGAAGGGCGAGGAGGGGGGACAAAAATGCAGGAGGAGGAGGAGGAGGAGGAAGAAGAAGAGGAGGAGCAGCAGCAGGGGCAGGAGCGGGCTGCGAGCGTGTCTCCCCCCGGGCAATCCACATTGGATTCCGACGGACAGCCACCCCTTGCTGCATGGCACGCACACTTACCTCAATAAACAACACTGCAAGCTGCATGCACGAGTCCTGTTGAACCCAACGGCGACGACGACGACGACGACGACGACGACGACGCCGACGCCGACAACGGCGACGACGACGACGACGACGAAGACGACGACGACGACGACGACGAAAACGACGACGACGACGACGACGACGACGACGACGACGACGACGACGCCGACGACGACGGCAAACATCGAGCCCATGCAAGCCCGACTGCGCAGGAGTGCTACATGAACATGCTGGAGCAATCCGAAATGGGAGGAGACAAAAAGACAGGCGATGAATCAGGGTAGGACGAAGGAGGGGGAGGTACACTGGAGTACTGCATCGGGTCAGTTAACAAACGCGCACGTACGGATACAGGGCCACCCACGCGCACACACACACGTAGCACGCGAGCGTGCTAGTTTGCAAGTTTGCTTTGCTCTGCGACGGCCGCGC